ATATATACACATATATATATATATATATATATATGTATAAATATATGCAATATATGCACTTGCATTACAGCCAGGAAAGTATTCATGCCTGGGACGATTGCATTATTAGTCACAGCACTGTGACCTCTCACCCCAAGTGATAAAGTACACAGGTCAGAATTGACAATACATACTCATGGCTGATCATGGCTGCCAGTTATTGATCCAAAGAGGGGAAAAAAAGAAAACTTTGCAGGAAAAAACATTGCTCTGAATTACAAACATGCATTCTCCTGAGACACAGCAACTCTCTGGGTTTTTCCCACTGGAGCTGGAAAGCAAAAAGTGAGTTCAGCCAGTATTTAATATCAAGTGAATGCGGTGTTTAATCAATACTATTCTGCTTTTGTTCCACGATGTGGAAAGCAGTGTCTATTCATTCAGTAAAGGTTAATGCTAAGGGTCAAGTGATTTCACACTCTCTGTAGGATCCACAACATTTCAGTAGTTCAGATGCCTTGGACAATGATGACTCAGTTGGACTGATTTATTGCCACTCTAAGGTCCTGCTTAATACTAAAGTGCTATCTTATGATAATACCTCAGAAAATAGCACTGATAAAAAAAGAGGCTATAATTACCTACATTTTGAAGTAATGTCTTCATCTCTAACATCCGATAAAGATGTAAGGTCCATTTAAAATTATATGCTCCTTGTATTAGCAAGTCAGTTAAAGCACCTATTATCAGTGTTCTCTGGTTTATGAAATGCTATCTATGCAAAAGGAATCTGGCTGATGCATTAAGAAAAATGCAAATTGCAAGCAAATCTAATACTGTACCTCATTGAACATACATTTTAATGTATGTTAAATGTCTACCTGCACAAATAAAAAATTACTCTTCTAAGAAGACTGATTAATAAGATGAAAAAGGAGAAAATTTTAAGACAATGTAGAATAAAAATATAATAATCACAGATATTCTAATTGGGCTTTAGCATGTGTGACCTCATAAACAATAGTATGCAAAATTCCTTGTATTTTTCTTCCTCTAAAATTTCTAACTTAAGGGTAGATAGGCAAAAAAGGGAAGACAATAAACTCCCCCTCAATATGATACACTGAAAGTGACATTAAGTGAGGTCATTGTCTAAATGAGAAAGCATTTGACTTTGTCAGGGGTTCTAATTTTGAACATGTTAGGATCCCTGCTTACTATTCAGCAATGTCTTATTCAAGATGTGTTTTATATAATGAAAGAAGTTCAGATGTCACTAGGAAAATAGTGTGAGAAGAATTAATTGGAAGGCTTATCAGACAGAAGTAGTTTAGAATCCAAATCTATCTAATGTATCATTGAATGATGAATATACCAATCAATTAGCAAAATAAAATAAATTCTGCAAATTTGACTGAAGACATCCTATTATTATAAGTGGGAGGATATTTGGAACAGTTAATTACTCCTTATTTTAGATTCTAAGTATGCAAAAATCCTTTATGTGAATTTTAAATGTCCTTCTCTCCCCCCAATTACAGATATTTAGAAATTTTTTCAGACTTGTTTTAAATAATGGTGTCATGTTTTCAATAACACTGTGGCAGATATAGAAGAAAGACATTTTAATGTGAAATAAAGGGGTAAAATCCTTCATTCTTACATCTGTAGGTCCCCATGTTTTCTTAAAAAAAAATTAAAAAAAAAAAAAAAAAAAAAAAAAAGATAAAATGTCCATATGCTATATTTATTGAAATAGGCTAGTTTTTACAAAAAAAAAAAAAATACCTTACATGGCAACCACTTTTCTCTCTTTGGTGGAATAAATTGTTACTGATAATATCAAAAGTTTAGTCCGTAAATTTCTTTCCACTCTTTGACTGTACTGAATAGGAAATGTCAAAAATATCATAGAGGTCTAAGAATGATACTGAAATAATATACTTAAAGACCAAAACAGTCCCTCTCCCCACAAGACCCTGTGCTTTATTTTATAGATTTGAAAAGCTCTAAATTGTTCACAGTTCTAGTCAACAGATTTATAATATCTGACATCTGTTGAGTTTTTCCTCTCCCAACAAGGTTTCAGTCACAATCTGAAATATAAACCCCTGCCACCCTTCTAGTTAAAATTTTGTACAGAAGTTTCAATGGCAGTGTACTTCAGAGATATAAAAAAAAAACAATTCCAAAGATATCTGGAATGGAAAAATAAGTCTGCCTACTTAAAAATAACAAAAATTACAAAATAAGATTCTTTGTGTAAGCAAGGAAAGTTTGTCTTTTCTGTTGCACAAACAAGAAGCTCTTAAAAATTTATTTAAAATAAGAATGCATTGGATTGTCTCAGTTTGTGATAACAAAGACTTTGTCACACTAAATCAGACCACTGCACCGTTAAGTTCAGAATCTTGCCTGCAGGCCCAGTGGGTGCCCAGTCTATCAGACAACAGAAGCATCTGTGGAAAAACAAATATTCTTACTGACCTTGTTGAGTGGGAGTCTCCATCTTAAAGAAGGAACTTTACTAATATATTTTTTCTGCACAAATTAGTATTAGATATTTTTTGCCACTAAAACTTTACAAGTTAACACTGAGCAATTTTATATGCAGAAGTGTACAAAGTTCTGTCTTATTCCTAAATAAATTTATCATGACTACATACATGCCCAGATTATACATAATATAGAGTTTTGATCTGAATGGGAATAGCTATATATATATCTGCAATATCCCAAAATCATAATAAAGAACCAGACTTTTTGCATCACTAGTGAAATAAGCAGGCTGGGAAATATGAAAAAATTGGAAAAAATGGGCCAAAAACTGTTGCTAGAAAATTTAGCATTACTGTATGATCTAATGACTCAAATATTTAAGCTTTAATCCAACAACAGGACTGCAAAACCTTTACCTTTTGGGCACTGCATTGGAATTCTAGTACAGCAGGCATTAGTAAATTAAGTTTTTAAAAAGAATAAGTTTTAGAAAGAAGAGAATGGCCATTCAGACCAAGATACCTATAATACCTAGTAGGAGACTAAGAATTAAATAAAAAATAAGAAAAAAAGTCATGCCTAAAATTAGACTTCTGAATCCATATTTAGGCAATTAAATAAAAAGCTTAATTATGAAGACTGCTAAGCAGCCAGGAGCACCTATTTCAGTTGGCGTCCTCCTATTGCAGTGAGGACAGTGAACTAGCTGGCTCTTGAAAAATGTAGCTGAGTTTCCAGGCTAATTATGCAAAATACTTGCTTTGTGACAGAGTGCAACATCAGTGAGATGTATACGAGCAGATTTAGCTGCCTTTTATACTGAGTGGTACAGAATGATTTTGGTTCTCCATTCATGTGCAAGTTATATATGATATGAATGAACACATGAATCAATCATGGATAAGGTGTTTATTACAATTCCATTGCTAGTTTTGATTTATGCTCTTCTGTTCTATTTGCTTCCATTTTCATAACTATTTTCATTTTGTTTAGTCTTCATCTGTGCATGAATTTGGGGTTTGGCAGGCACTTGAAGTTTAGTCATGTAACATTATCAGAGCACAAGTAAATTAAAATATTACAAATACATTTTTTTCCAAATATTACAAAATGTTAAAATAATTATTTAATAATGTAATTATTAGAAAATACAAGTACTGATTTCATATTACTATGCCACCTGAAAAAGACAGTCAAAAGAATGGAAAAGTAAATCTTATTTATTTTTATTAAAAGAAACACATTATTATAGATGATTCTGTTTAAGAAATGGTACTAAATACATCCATAATAAAAAACAAAACCCAAAAAAATCCAAAAACAAAACCAAGAACAGCCCAAACCAAAGTGATTTGAATTCTCTTCCAACAACTAGTGTTTCTCTGCAGCTGTAAAGTACAAGACAGTAAAAGAAATCTGTTAAGAATCAGAATTCTTATGAGACAGGCTTCACTGCAAGACTGAAACACTGATTTGCAAGAAACTAAAAATCTGTTCTAAGAGAGGTTATCACCAAACCTTGACATGCAACCTTTTCTTCTAGAATTGTTGTTGTG